GTTTCAAGAGGAGGATCAGTAAGATATAAATACGCTGCTAAAGCATCACAAAGTGCAACAGGAAATTGATGTTCAGGAGAAAGACGATAATTAATTGCTAATTATAGAGAATAAAAGGTTAAAGATATATCTTTTATGAACTAAGAAATACAGTGACTAAAAATTTAGATAATTTTACCAAAAACCGAACATTCAGCATTTTTAGCAATTTCATAAGTAAAATTGCGACTTGATTTAGCTGATCCTAAATAATATCCTCCACCAAACATGTAAAGTACAAACCTTCCTGTATCTTTTCTATCTTTAATTTTAACCCATTCTCCAGATAATCCATCATTATCAAGATCTTGCCACTTTTCGTCAATAACGTCTTTATATATTTTCAACTTGTTCACTAAATATTCCTTGCTTTTAATTACATATCTTTCATCCAATTTAGTCTCATCCACAATGCAGTCATCTGGAGTTGGTACAGACGTTAGGCCATAATTCTTTCTTACTTCTTCTAAAGTTATATTTTTAGAAGCTTCAATATTCTTTTTCAACCGTTCTAATGCTTCGTAATATTGCGGAGAAAGCGAAAATTGGGACATTATTAGATATCCTTTATTTTATTTGTATAAAATGAAAGTTTTTTTTTTTTATCTGTTTGGTCGTCTTTTAAGAAAAATGAGAATCCTATAGTTATGCATTTTATAAATCTGTAACTCAACACCTAGTTCGTATGAGATTACATACAAATTTATCCTAAAGAGATATATGGGAATAAAATTCCGATTAACATGTACAACTTTGACTTTGTAACACAGGTTGAATCAATGAATATCGGGTGCATATCGGGAGACAAGTTTCCTGATATGTACCCGTTAGTCTGCCATAGATCCGCCAAAAACCTGCTGAATATTGGCAGCATATCAGGTAGTCGATATCGGTAACATAACGGCGCAATATCGGGATACCAAGATATCGTGGTATCCCAATATTTTGCTGTATGTTGCTGATACCGATCTACCTCCTGATAACTTACTACTATGCTGCCAACATGCTGCTGATATTCAGGTATTTGGTGGATCTATAGCAGACTAACGGGTACATATCGGGAAATTTTTCTCCCGGTATGCATCCGATATTCATTGATTCAGCCTGTGAAGGCTGCGGTGCTGGGGATTATTTCTACATTTGTAAAAATAATTCTCAATCGTTCAATAATTCCATAATTCCACAAACAGCAGAGGTCTTTTTCGGATCCTCTATAGTATAGGTGGGCAATATAGAAATATTATGGTTATTATTATAATATATAAAAACTCTAACCCTACCCTTAATTTGAACTATAACCTTCACCCTAACTCTAGCTATATATATATTTATAAATTTGCTTGGATTAATTCGAATAGTTATTTTTATATATTATATCTTATAATAATTCTCTTATACTTCATTATAAATTTTTATTTATGACATAACTTATACATGCATAATACATGTAAATATACGGTATTATTCCATTTATTCATTAAACATTCGAGCTGCATCTATTATTAAAAAGCTTAACTTACGTAACAAATAACTATGACAATGGCCATTTATTACATATATTTTAATAAGTTATGGAAATTACGCTAGGAATTTAAGTTACATTAATTTTTTTATGCCACAATAGGGCTCATACGGATTTACCGTTAGAGGTCGGAAACGGTTAGTATAATTCTGGTATAAATTCGGGTTAACCCGGTTTTAATAGTAAGTTATAGTTATTGTATGGGTTGTAAAAAATAACTAAATTTGCACGGGTTTACATGCCCGAAGGCCATGCCGTGCAAATTTAGTTATTTTATAACGATAACCCATATAATAACTCGATTTACTGTAATAGCAACCGGTTTTAATAGTAAATCGGGTTTATAGTCTAATTTGGTTGTAAAACTCTGATAAACCGGTTTAAATTCGGTTTTATTATGAAAAATCCATGTTTCACAAAATCCGATTTAGATTCGGTTTAAAGCCAGCTCAATTCGGTTTTTGAATTTCAAACCGGTTCCGACCTCTATTTACCGTAACCGTATCTCTCGTTAGGATGATTTATTGCATCACTACTCTAGATTTTACCTATTTTAGCTCCGGATCAGAGTAAAATTAAAATTACGAAGAAGCCCAGTACTAAATCAGAGCATGTTAATCTATTTAACAACTCGTAACACGAACACGAAAGAGCTTTTTGAGAGGTAATAATGCTAACCCTAGTCATATTTCGCATTCTAAAACATAATGGGCATATTATTATCCATAGCAGTCATAGGATATGTCCACTGCTTATTATTCAAATGAGAACACATAAAAATTTTATAAGTAAAAATTTGATTTAAAACAAAGAAATGAATATGAATTCTTTCTTTAAATTTTAATTATCCAAAGCAGCCATAGGATATGCCCACTACTTATTACTCAAATGAGAATACATCAAAATTTTTTCTAAGTAAATTTGATTTAAACTCTTTCTTTAAATTTTAAATTTATATTCTTTAATATTTAACAATTTTTATTAAAATTTACAAATTTTAATTTCAAGCAGAGAGCTAAAAATCTTTAATTATTTGTTGTGCCTTTCAAGTCGAAAAAAAATTAAACCTGTTCAAGGAAATAATACAGTATGATTGGCCAAAGTGGTTTTTAAAAATAAGTAAACCTTTTTTTTTTATCTGTTTTGTCGTTTTTTAAGAAAAACGTGAATCCTGTAGTTATGCATTCTAGAAGTTCGTATTAGTATGAGATCGCTTACCGGTAGATATTTATCAAAAGCAACTAATTTTTATCACCGGACACGTCTATTTAATTTTCTGATTCGGAATTTTAAACCGGACAATAAGACCTTTTAAACTCCTATTTATTTACGAAATAAGTTAATACTAGTAAAAATGTTATTGAAAAATCTTATTTACTTTCGAAATGCATCACTTATTTGCTAATTTCGAAATCCCATTAGGGGGTTTCAGAATTAATGATTCGGCGTCTGATTTCAGATAAAATAAGTGCCGTATTTATTTCAAAATAAGCAACGTACAAGTTTTATTTTTTTTAAAGTATGTCTTATTTACATAATCGTTTACCCGATGAATGTTTATCAAAAAAAGCTAAATTTTATCACCGGTTATGCCTATTTAATTTTCTGACCTTTTAAACTCTCACTTATTTTGAAAAAAAAGTTAATTCTGAAACCCCTTATTGTAACATTTTAGCAAATTATCATTTTAGAATAATAAATAAATGACATTTGGAATGCTTGATAAAAAATAAAACACAATACGAGAACGCAGAAATTTTTGATATAAGAAAATGCTGAGGGGAGAGTGAAATTATCATTTTAGAATAATAACTAAATGGTATTTGAATGCTTTATAATATAAAGCACAATATATAAGGCCACGCAAAATTAATTTTTCGTTTTACTAAAAAAAAATTTTTTTACATCCAATTATTCGATTTTTGTTATTTATTTTTTCCTGCCATTTTTATCCGGTATCACCCGTGAGACCTTGATATCTCGGAATTATCCAACAGGATCGACAGAAAAAAACGACTGCCTTGTTATGCAAAAAAAGATTAACTTTGCGTAGCCGTAAAATTTGAACATGTTTCTATTAATTTAAAATAGATTTTTTAAGAAAAAATCCGACCGATCCAATTTTCAAATTCCATGTAATGTAAAACGATAAATTAACTTTGCGTGGCCTAAAATGCTAAACATATATGGAACAATGGAATTATCAATTTAGAATAATGAATAAATGCATTAACATTAAAAAAAAAGTGAATAAATGACATTTGGCATTACAACTATAAAGCCATATTGCATATGGAAAATGCGAATTTATAAATTTACAATGATATTCAAAAGAATGAATATATTTAATAAATCACCGGCATTTGTGGAATATTCCAAAATCTTCAAAATTTTTTATTAATACAGTATGTAATAATATTTCCAAGTTAGAATGCATTATTATATGAATTTTATGTCTAATAAGTTGCATCAAAAATGATTGGACAATGGGAATGAAGGGTCAAGCATGTTATCGTTATGCTATTATGTAACTTTGTATAACGAATATCGTTATCGTTATGAAATTAGATGTATAAACTTTTAATCCTCTTATTATAGATGGTCTAGTATTTTAAGGTAATCCAGACTGGCTCCTTTTTTTTTACATCATAGAAATTTTGCAGTACAAGACTATTATCTGATCTAGCAAAGTATAAAAAGTTCACCCGTGTACGTTTAATCGTCTAATCAAAATATAATAATAATTATTTTTTTTGACAGTTAAATGATTGCCTTTAAAATAAATATTTTCAATTGTTATTTTGTCTTTCTATTAAGTAAGGAAGTTCTTAAGTATCAACATCGAAGTGATTGGCTAATGATCGAGACAGTGCACAATTTATTATATACTCAAGTTCATTTTATTTTATTCTATTCTATTTCTTTTTGTTTGCTCATTTTAGATAGTATCCGAAGTATGTATGCATGTGCGAATTGTATATATTGTATATTTATGTATCTTACTATTATATTAATAGAAATGATTATTAAAAATAAAATCAATGCTAGGACATCAAGAAATTTTATTTCATGATAAGTAGGTATCGGTATAGAGTTTAAACCCAGTTTTATTTTTTTTCATATGTTAAAACGGGCTAAATCGGTTTTAAATTAAATAAAAAGCCCTTCGGTAATATCAAATTATTAAACTAGAATTTAACAAGAAATATATATTTTGTAATACAATAAAATCACGCTTGAAAATTTATATAATGTATAATTGACTTTGGTGAATACATAGAGTAGGTAATGATTTTAATGGTTATGTTGGTTCGTTTGACGAAATGGAAATGGTTTTCAAGAAATTGTGCTACAACGAAGATTAAGATTTCAAAGAGTAGTAGATTGATAGTATATAATATTAACAATTTTATTGACAAGCAAAAAATAAAATTTTTTCTTAAATCTTTGATTTAGGCATATCGTCCCTAATGATGAAATTTGCAATTGAATATGCAACACTGCAAATGGTAATCTAAAAAATTGTTGTATAAAGTTAGAACTTTTTATGTCATAAAAGGTTCGAATAAATGAATACCTTACCATAGGATTGACGCCAACAGAAGTTGGAAGTACACTTGCATCAGCAACATAAAGATTATCTACTTCCCAAACTTTACCTTTGGGATTAACAACCGATGTTTTTGGATCAATGCCCATTTTGCTATAAGTTATAAAAAAAAAAAAGGAAACGGTAAATTATATATACTATATATACACATATAAAATAAAAAATTATTGAAATTACCATGTTCCCATTTGATGTGCACTTCCAATACTTGATGCATTCTCCTCTACACCAATCTCTCTAACTTTCTCAATATATTTTTTATATCTCGGATCATTAAATGGATCTTTTTCAGCAGGTTCAAATTCTTCAATAGCGAATTGCGGTGTCATAACTGTTTTTGCACCTGCAGCTACATGAATATTAAGTCCAGCAATTATTCCTTCGACAATACTTTTTGAATCATGATTACTAATTGAATAATGAATCCTAGGTCTTCCATTTGAATCTATGGTAATTTTACCAGGAATTTTATCACGACTAATAATTAACATGGAAGAAAAATGATTTATTTGAAGCATTCGTTGTTTATGGTTAAGTGCAGATCTCCAGGGTAAGAAAGTAACAAGAAAAAGAGGATGAAATGTCGATGTTTCAATTTTTGCTCCATAATTATCACCATCTACGTTTTCAACAGCATCTGATACCTATTATTATTTTGATATAATAATGATTTATATACTGTATTTGTATTGCATATTTTTGTACGTGCGTCAAATTAAAATTTGCGCCAGATCATATAATTCCAATAAAACTCTGTATTTAAATTTTGATCTAACGTAAATTTCAATTTAAATATATTTATGATAAAAATATACCGATGTCATTATAGACCCTGAATAAGGGTTAATTTCTTTGTCCGGGAAGAAACCGGTTACCATAGTAAGAGGATGAAGATATAAATTCTTGCCAATATTTTTATTCTTGAGACCACTTCTTCTCAGTAAAGCAGGACTATGAATTGCTCCACAAGAAACAATCACTTTTTTTGAGTGTATGATTAATGCTCGATTTCCGTTAACTATAGCCTTAACACCCACGGCTTTTCTATTTTTAATCAAAATATTTTCAACATAACAATTATCAATAAATTTTGCTCCAGCATCTCTAGCATCTCTTAACCATGTCATCAAGCTTCCTTGTTTTTCTCCATATTTACAACCAAATGTACACCATCCACATTGATGATGATATCCGGCTGTATTTTGAGGTATATTACCGCAATGATATCCGAATTTCTTACATCCTTCTATAAGAATTTTGTTATTTTCATTGTGAATAATTGCATCTGAAGAAACTCCCATTCGTTTTTCGACTGCTTCTATTGACTCATTAAATTCATCACTAAGAAAATATGTTAATCCTTGTGCAGCCCATTCCTTTCGTACATAATGAGGTAGCTAAAAATATAAATTTATAAAATCAAAAGTTTAATATGAAAAAAAAAGATTATTTAATATATATAATAAAGTCAAACCTTTAAACTAGCACTATAATTGATCGTGGTACCCCCTCCAAATGTTGAAGCCCTATTAATTGGAAATAAATAAAGATCAATGAAAAAAAAAGGTTTAAAAAATTTTGTTAAAATTATATAATGTTATATATAATTACTTACGAAAGAATGTACATAGTTTTATCTTCGTTAAATAAAAAGCCATTACTCTCGTATAGATTATCGAGAGATTCGGCTTGTTTTAATGATAATTCATTTTGATGATAGTACTTTCCTTTTTCAATAACAAGAACGTTATAACCAGCTTTTGCTAGTTGAGCAGAAACCACACCACCTCCTGCACCAGATCCAATAACTACTACATCAAATTGTAATTCCAGTCCTTCGGGTGGAACTTGAATAAATTCATAATTAGGAAATGAATTAATTTTTGATGTAAACTTTTCACCATTAGCTTCAGGATCAGGACCAGGATATCCAATTGTTTCAAAATATTTATCAAAACTTGTCCAATATATAACATTAAATAAAATCGTCAAAGCTGAAAAGATATTTCTATAAAATTTAAAGCCTTTAGACCATTTTTGTAAAACAAATTCACGTTGTTTTCTATCAAGTTCATAAAATGGTTTAAAGTAACCCGTTAATAATAAGGATGTTGAACTTTTTGCAAAAAAGTTAAAAATCAAATTAATTTGAACTAATTTATCTCGGGGAAAACACTTTACAAGTTTATCTGTAAAAATTTTTATAAAGTCTTCATTCTCTGATAAATCAAATTTAGAAAATTTAAGAACTTTAGAGGGATGTTTTTTTATTACGTTGGCTTTTGTTTTTAGAAGTGCTTCTGTCTCTAAATCATCTAATTTTGCTATTAAAGTTCCACAAAATGCTTTAATAACTTTAATTTGCTCATCGTTAAACTTAAATGAATCGAGCATTTTTATTTCTTTTATTTTTTTTTATTTATTTCGTCGTTATTAAAGTTTTATAATTTTTTGCTTTTCGTAATGTATATGTGTATTTAATATGTAACTTTTTTGTGGCTTGTAACATCTTCATTAAAGATAGGTTTCATGCGTGCTCAATCATGCCAGGGATGGTGAATACCTTCAAATAAATTGGAATTTTATACGGAAGTATTCACCTTTCTTGAATCATGCGCATTTTATCCCATCAAAAATTTTATATAGAAAAATTAAATGTAAAATAAGTATCCAAATTGATCCGATCTGGATCACAAGATCAAGAATTAATGGTCTATCTAACCAGAATTAGAATTATTTCTATAACACAATTGCAAATCTTGGTTTATAAACTAGACCAATATCCTTTTATATATACCCTATATCGATATAATTTGATATATATATTAATGAATTGACCCGTCTAAAAAATCTTCACCCGGGTCACCCGTCGGGTGGACAATATGCCACCCAGGTATAGGGATGTTAAAAGTTCGGTTCGGTTCGACTCGACTCTAAAAGTCGAGTCTTTATTAAAGTTCGGTTCCGAGTTAGACTTGGAACTCAACTCGAATTTTCACGTGCAACTTGTATATTTAGAAAAAATGTGTACAGTATTCATGCATACTTTGCTCTTTTTAGCACTATATTTAAATATACAAGTTGCACGTGAAAATGCGAGTCGAGTTTCAAGTCTGACTCGGAACCGAACTTTAATTAAGACTCGACTTTTAGAGTCGAGTCGAACCGAACCGAACATTTAACATCTCTACCCGGGTGGAAACGGGTCAGTTTACATCTGATAAAATGACAATGACCGAATCGATAAGTTTCTGAGTTTGGCCGAAATCGTTATTTATTGATTCCTACTCGGTAACTTATCGGCAATTTTTTCAGTTGTTCCAGAATTTATGAAAAAGCTGTAAAAAAGGTTGCCACCCGGGTCAACCGACAGTTAATTAAAAAAACAAGCCCAGGTGATTAATGTCCCGAAAATAATACGTCGTTCTAAAGTGATAAAAGTTTTAAATACATCCATATCGTTAAAATTGCTTGAGTGTGTTTAGCAAATTTTCTGGCTAACCCAGCGGAGATGTTTCGAAAGCACCATATTTCCGTATTCAAGTTATATTTACATCGATATATCAATTTATTGAATTTATTATGCCGAAATCACAAACTTAATTGAATCAGCAAAGGCCAATTTTTATTAGGTGTCTCAGAAATTATGATAATAGCTTCGAGCAAAGTATGGATATGGTAATAATTCTGGCTGATTTACTAATATACTGCCATCTCGTGGGCCAACTCACAGGTCACCCACGGGTCACCCGTGGGTTGACCCACCCGTTTTCACCTGGGTTGCCATAACTTAACCCGGGCCACCCACCCACCCGCGGGTGACATTAAATAAATGCTATGAAAATCCAGGTCTAGTTTATTTTTATTATAATAATCTTTATGTAATTTCTCTATTTAAATAACCAAGCGTTCAACGTAAATATTATTTTTATATTTGCAATAAAGCCCTTAACAAATATAAATCATGTCTAAAAAATTGACTCAAAAATTAATAATAAAACTTACTAATTATATTTGGTTATTTATTTAAAAATAATTTTTTACAAGTTGCTTCTTATTTAATAAATACTTCAAAAAAAAAAAAAAAACCATTATAAAATAGAAGTATTAAAAATTTTTTTGACAATGTTATACTAAATAAAAAAAATAAACTTGAATTAAAATTTGCAGAAGTTGTTTTTTAATATAGTTTTTCTTTTTTATTTTGTAACTAGTTCTAATTCAAGATTAACTCAAAAAAATTAAAACCTTTATTTAAATTATTAAAAATTGTTTATAATAAAACTAAATTAAAAATAATTAAAAATAACAAGTTTACTAAAACGCACCTATGGTGTTCAACATCATAGGTCCCTATTTCTCAAAAAACATACGGTCAGATACTCTAAGTAAAAATGGTCGGGACCCCAAAAACCTCAAAACTAAAATTGGGACCTTATATCTAATATATATTATAATATACCGGGTGTCCCAAAAGTTCCTATACACGGTCCCTTTTTTTAAAGTGAACTTATATATAGAGATCACGATGATTATTTATGCAACACTTTAAAAAAAAGGGACCATGTATAGGAACTTTTGGGACATCCGGTATATAAAAAAAAAAATTATAAAAATGCACCCTAATTTTAAATTTTATTGAAAACAATTATATATTGCTAAACACCATAGGTGCATTTTATAATAATTGAAAAATAAATTAAAACCTTTATTTAAATTATTAAAAATTGTTTAAAATAAAACTAAATTAAAAATAATTAAAAATAAATTAAACATGTTAAATTTTTTAACTTTGATTTGCAATTAATAATAAATTTTAAATTAGAGATAGTAGTTGAATGGATATATATTTATATCCGGATTCAATTTTTTGAATATCTGTATCCAGTGTCATGGGCTAAATAGTAGATCAACAAAATTGGCATAGTAAACTTATGACTAAAGTGGATTTACTATCAGAATTCCAGATCAACTATTAGATGAGGCTTGCTGGCCAAATAACGGAAATGATAACTGATGTGAAATCCAAAAAAGAATTCCAAGAAAAACAAATGAAGATCAAAAGAGAAGATCTTGAAGATAAGCAAAGCAAAGACTTCAATAAAAGAAAATTATTATAATTATTATTGTAAGCCCCTTAGTTATAGTAATCTTTCTCTTGATTCTTTAATGATGGAAGATGTGATTTATCCCTAAGCCTCTTGAATTTGTTAGGATAGTAAAAGTTATAAAAACTTCTCTCTTGTAATTAGATATCCTACGGAATTCTAATATAACTTACACAATACTTTACAGAAACATATTAAATAATGACTAAATAGTAAACATAATGTAAACAAATTGTAACAATATTTTATATATATCGTAAATAATTAGTTAATAATAAGATAAAATCTAGTAATTTATTTGTTAATTAGTAGTTACTATGCCTTAAGACAATATTAAATCCTTAGTTTAAAATAGTAAAGATTTAGTAAATTTTTAGTATTAAAATATTTAATATTTTTATGCGATTTAATATTAAAATTAAAACTATTTTTGTAATATTTAGTATAAAAATTAAAACTATATATTTAAAATTTATTGTTAAAATTAAAACTATTTATTTAAAATTTATTATTAAAATTTAAATAATTAGTATCAAAATTAAAACTATTTATTTAAGATTTATTATCAAAATTAATTTTATTATTAAAATTAAAATTATTTAGTATCAAAATTACAAATAACTATATAATTATTGAAAACTAAAAGCAAATTTGAAAACAAATTTTAATAACATACCGAAACTATCAAAATCTAAAATCTGAAAAAATCTTCATTCAAATAATCAAAAATGTTATATAGTAGAAGTTTTACAACAGCATCTTAGTAAAACCAAAATAATATCTAATTCAATTATTCTTTATTGTAGTTTCAAATCTATAAATTCAAGTAATTAAGTGCATCAATAAAATACAGATAATAAACAGTTTATTTAAATGATTTTATTCATACCCTTGCACTACATTTTTATAATGCTTGATACTCATTGAATTCATATTAAGTAATATTGTTAAATGAGATGCATTCATTCTATTCGAATAATATTGCGTCGAAGCGATATTACTGTAGTAAGTTATAATAAATTGAATATAAATTAGAAGGTAAATATAATACTATAAACATGCATAAATTTTTTGCTAATTTAAATTTTGAAATACATGACCTTTTATTCATTTTAATTACTCTTTATTTTCATTAATCCTTCAGAAGTCTACCATGTTTAAGATCGAAGCTTAATTATTTATGATAGATTTCGGTATATTTTATATAATCGATGCGACTGTTGTGAAAGGGTAAATTGTAGGGTCATTAAAGATTAATCACTTCTGTTTAAACTCTATCATAAGGATTTTGATCTGAAGTTGATTCTTAAGTTACCTGTATAAACATGAATTTCTAACACTAGTTAACCAATATAAGTTAGCTAATCACATAGATGTTTTTTCTAATCTCGAGTTAAAACAAAAAAACAACAATACTTGAGCTTTATTCGAAGTAGGTAAGTCGATTTTAAATGTTCGAATGAAGTCAATTAAAAAGTAAATCCAGGAAGTTTATTAAGAACCTCAGTAAAGTGGTACACCGAATCTTGCATTTCTAAAGTAGTACAAATTTTTCATATTTATAATATTAGTTATTATTCGAACAACAAAGATAATAATCGTTAAAAATAGTAAAGATAGTTAATATATATATTAGTTATTAACATTATTTTTGTTATATCAGTATAAGAAGAATAATGTATATAAGAAACGAGAACTTACCTCTACAAAAGATATAGCTTCAAATTTGAAATCATAATAGTAGAACTAATTCACGTTATTTTAAAATGTTATATATAATCATTATGTTTTGTATCTATCCTCTTTGAGAAAAGAGAAATAGAACGAAATTATATACAAATCACTTATAAGTAATAATCTGTGGTATCTCACTTTCGTTATAGGTTATTTATAAGCTGGTAATCTGAAAAATTCGTAGTTCTATGATGGTGATTCGAAACAAACACTATATAAAAAAGTATAGTAAATTATGATTAATCTATAGAATTAAAATAAGTATGTAAAGAATTAAACGATATCAAGAGCAAATACTTATTCTAAGTCCAAAAGTAGCTGCAGCAAATTCCAAAACTCTAATATTCAATTGAAGCTGGCCAATTTATAGGTTTTGAGTATTGTAAATTATTAATTATAGTTATTGTTGTTTAGTTACCCACAAATAGTCTTGCCTTTTCACTATGAACTCTTAGAAATAAAATGTAGTTAACTAAAATAATTCATAACCACCTGTGCCCAGCTGTGATTGTGAACAATCTAAGGATAAATAAAGAACAAAGAACATGTTCCAAAAAAAAGCAACTCTCCGCTCAGAAGATCAATTGTTAAAAAATGTTGTGAGAAATATTAAAAAGTAAAAGAAAGAGAAGAGTAGATACCTGCCTTTACATTAAACATCCAAATAGATTTACCAAGTTGAGTTTAAATAAGCTTGCTTAACCAATATAATAAAGGAACTTGCAAAACAATATTAAAAGAGTTATAAAATTCAAGTAAAAAATGGAATTATCGAGTAAAAAGATTGGTAATTGCTATCTTTAAAAAATCTCATTATACTGGAAAGTCTAGTGCAAAACATATCGAAGATTGTTAAATAAAAATGATAAAGAACAAATAAGAGGAATACTTATAACAAGAATTGGTCATGTATCTTTGGGATCTTTAGAAAGTGGTATAAAGATCATAGCCTATAAGATGTAACTAATATTAATCAAAATAAAATAAAAGTATAATAAAGAACAAAGTTATTGTCAACCAATCTATGGATAGTGTGGATAGAACTAAGATGAAAATTAAAGCTGAAACAAACTTACCACATATAAGTGCCAATATATTTGCCCACGGCTACCAAAAAAACAATTCAATGAAAGGGTCAAAAATTAATGCCCAACAAATTTATAGAATAGCATTTTTATAAGTAAAATCGCTTTAGGCAAAATTGTCAGTACAAGGACAGGAAAAAGAATTGTACCGATACATCTAATTTTTGTTCTAGTGAAGTTACCAGGCTAAAGAAAAATATTCACAATAGCTTATGTCAGGAGAATTCTATATGTACTTCACTTATCAAATTGAAGGTTATTATTCCGTAATTCAAAATTCTCCACTATATTGAATCTTAATTATGATAAGAAATGAGTTGTAATTAATACACAACTAATGAGAACAATCTGGAAATAGTGACTTACTTGAAAATTTGATCCAGTAAAATAAGTAAAGCATTATAATGGCTATAAAGATAATTTTAGTATCTGAAGTAAACCGCCGAAATTATGAACACGTGGTATGAAGAAAAAATTAAAAGCCTGGAAACGACTATGAAAAACGAGAGCTGTTTAAAATTTGGCTCAAAATTATTAATGTTCTTTATATTATAATAGGGAATTAATATTAGCGAAAAAAATGAGTTGTAATTAATACACAAACAATCCGGGAATAGTACTTATTTGAAAATTTGATCCAGAAAAATAAGTAAAGCATTATAAAGGTAATTTTAGTAGCAAAAGTAAACCACTGAAATTATGAACACGTGGCATGAAGAAAAAATCAAAAGCCAGAAAAACGACTATAAAAAACAAGAGCCAATTAAAAGGTAATTTTAGTAGCAGAAGTAAACTGCCGAAATTATGAACACGTGGCATGAAGAAAAGATCAAAAGTCTGAAAAACGACTATGAAAAATGAGAGCCGATTAAAATTTGGCTCAAAATTGTTAATGCTCTTTATATTATAATAGATAATTAATATTAGCGAAAAAATGAGTTGTAATTAATATACAAACAATCCAGGAATAGTACTTACTTGAAAATTTGATCCAGAAAAATAAGTAAAGTATTATAAAGGTAATTTTAGTAGCAGAAGTAAACTGCTGAAATTATGAATGCGTGACATGAAGAAAAGATCAAAAGCCAGGAAAATGACTATGAAAAATGAGAGCCGATTAAAAGGTAATTTTAGTAGCCAAAGTAAACTGCTGAAATTATGAACGTGTTGTATGAAGAAAAGATTAAAAGCCTGAAAAACAACTATAAAAAATGAAAGCCGATTAAAATTTGGCTCAAAATTGTTAATGCTCTTTATGTTATAATAGGTAATTAATATTAGCGAAAAAATATGAGTAAAATAAAATATTATACAACTATAACAAAGGTATATTCCAGAATCGATGATAAAGATTACAATAGCCGACAAGTTAATATATAACTAAGATTATCGATTATTATGATAAGTGCATAATTGAAGATTACTGGCTCAAAAGAAAAAATTCGTTATAAATTATGCTTATTAATTTACAGTATGTTGATTGCAGAAATAAATTATAGGGAAAGTTTGCTGAACTAACTTGAAAGAAATGATACGAAGATTGTGATTAATAGTTTGACCTTGTGCTTGTATCGACTTAGAAAAAAACAAAAATTACCTTATTATTCTTCAATTATTACTTTGGAGTTGTATTATAAAGGACAACACTTTTTTTTTTCAATTGTGAGTGTTCAATTAGTTTAAAAGACTTCTATGCTATAGTAGAATATAAAATATTATATAGCTTTGAAAAAATACATATTTTTTATATATAAATCATTCTCAAAATTATAGTCACTATCGATAATGTATTTATTATCATTACAATAATGAATAAAGTGTGCAGTATTGTTTGTGTCAACTTCACTTATAGGGCTGATCTTTTGCATATTTTGAAGTCTATAAACTGGACATTCTAACTTCTTTTGATTGGTAAGTTCAAATCTATCAATAATAATAAAAGCGAAATGTTGATTATTCCTTTTATGGCTAAAATTGATCATAGAATTGCAAAACTTTCACCCTCTTTCTCAGATATAGTTACAACATTACCAACATGCAAATAATAACGTGTGTCAGTCTCATTATCTGAAAAACAAGCAAGTTCATAATGTCAGCATGCTACTTCAAAAAATGCTAACTCATAACCCATTTTTTGATATTTTGATGCCAGTTCTCTATGGAAGTCAGAATCAGTCAGCAATTTTTTAACTTTTTTTCTTGGGACATACTTTTTTAATATCACGTTTGAAATGTATTCATCTAGAGAAGAAGTAATAAGATTATTAATTAAAATCATACAAATCACTAAAAATATTTTGATCAGACCTTCACTTATATTTTCAGGATCAACAGGTTTTTCAATAATAAACCAATCATTCATTAAACATTTAAATTGGTATGGAAAACTCATTGAAGTATTATTTGTAAGAGGAAAATGTTTGTCAATATCACTATCAAATAGATGGCGCACTGCAAACAAAGTTGTATATCGTTTTAATAAATCAAAGTCTACATTTTTTCGATTTGTTCATGATACCGCATTTTTAAATATACGGTGCACCATTTTTTTTTATCCCTATGCTTGTATTTAACAAAGTTGCATAATTCTTTGCGTGCTGTATTAAATGATAATTAGCATGCAAATTTGGAAGATTCTCAAAATCTTTAAATGCCTATTATTAATGAATATATTAATGTTTAATAATAATGCGTAACAATTAATGCTCTTAATTACCTGAGAAAATAATTTTATTTCATTAACTAAACATTCACGCAATTCTATATAATCGGCATCTGTAAAAAATTGTTTAAATACTATTGCCATTGTTTTTGCCATCAATACCCAGCATTTCAACCAAAGTTTTACAGCTAAATCACTTTGTGAAACCCCTGTTTGTTGTTGAAATAAAGTAAGTTCGGAATTTTTAAAATATGAAGGTTTTAAAAACCTATTGAGAATAAGCGGCATCATCATGGCCAAACGTAAGCAATCTGACATCATAAAACTGTCAAGATGCGAAATCGGATTTGGCAACTTTTGCCATGACCTTGGATATTCAAAGGATTTCCAATACTTTAAAAATATTGATTTTCTTTCTGTTGAAAATGCTTCAATTGTTATCCTGAAAAACCTTAGTACTTTGCCAGCTGTAAGGTGATAGACATCTTGTGGAGACTGAAGGTGTCTTTTTCTTTTTAATTTATCAAGTAAGGAAGGCCATAGATGTAATCTATACTCTGTAGCAAGTATTTCACGTCATTTCATTGTTGTTAACACTGAAATTTCTTCAAATTGACTATCCATAATGTGATGATATTGAGAAACTATTGATAAATTGAGACCTTTAGAAGTCCAAGAGTCTTTTTCAATATTACAGGTATAACATCCTCTTATGGTACCATGTCTTTTTACTCCCACCAGGTCATTTCCTTGCGGCAAGTCAGCTGTCACATCTCCGAGACTCGCAATAACAAGGCTTTTTTTTTTTTGCACATCCATTATGATTCCCTTTTCTAATTCTTTCATCTCATCGACAAAAGGACTAATGAAATTATCAAAATGACCACCAAATGGAACAAATCCAATAACGAAATAATTTTTGAGTTGTTTTCTTTTGTTAAAAGGTAGATTTCCAATTTGGACATAAATGCCTCCGAGTGAATGGTAAACATTACAAAACATTCCAAAATCATCGTAGTAAAGGTCAATATATAATTTATATATTGGAAGGTTCATTTCTAGTATTTCTAGTTTAGCGAATTCTGAAGGGTGTTTATAGAAATATTTAACATTTCTTAACTTCCAATATCCTTGGTGTTTATAAAGAATTTCACAAATAAAAACTGAAGACATATTAATATTATTTTCGTTATAAAGAATAATAATTGGAGCAACTCTAACAATATTTTGTAATTCAATAATTATGATTGCATTGTCCATTTCTCAATCTAACAACCATAATTCATTATGAGACCTCTCTCTCCGACTATTGCTTTGCAAATTATATGGTAATTTCTCAAATGTTACAACACGTTGAACTGTTGTCTTGAGCTTGTTATCTATATTCACTATTGATAAAATTCGACCGAATTTATTCCTTGCCATTGACTCTTTATAAACTATAAACTCTCTGCAATTGTATATTACTAAAATTAATAAAAACAATATTAGTAAAGCTATTACTATTATTATTATTATTAGCACTATTGTTTTATTATAACTCTAAATTTCACAAAATAAGCAATACAATAAGTAACATACTTCTATTAAATTGTATAGATGCTTGTTTAAATCGTGGAGATTCTTTCTATAAATTTCCATGTCAAAGTTTTTAATTTTTTATAACTTTCTGGCCTGGACCAAAATATATTTGGCTAAATATTGAGAGATTATTTAAAGAATGCCAAATAATATTTGTTATAGATAGATAATACATTTCCTTAGTATCTTTGGAAGTAGATGGTGTTTTTTTATTTGATATATTAATATTTCATGTTTTGATAGAAAGCAAAGGTAATCTTTGCCAATACTTTCTAAACTGGTGAATATTTGCTACAATATCTTCATTCTTAAACTGTGGATGGCGAATTATGTCCACTAATTCTTCATAAGTGCAGGTAGCTATTAAATATATATAACATAAGCTTAAGCAGCTATTAAATACATGTAGCAAATTTCAATTTGAATCTGTTAATAATAAATGAATTTCTTACATATGTTGTGTTTTTGAATCCAAAAAAACATCAACGCTTCAGTAATATTTTTGAAATATGGAGCAAATTCACCATTAATAGATGGCATTTGCTCAATATTTAAAGCTTCATCAACAACTTTGTCAGGACCTTTTTCACTTGGCTCTTTATTGTTATAATTTATTGGCATTTCGTTATCATCATCTAATATTTCATCGTTAAAAAAATCTTCATCTACATCATTCATTACCTCATCAAACAAATCATTTGTTTTTTCACAATTAGTCTCCCCTTTATCGAACGAATCTTCATTTGGTGTCTTATCATCATTCGTATTTTCATAATTAGTCACTCTTTCATCAAACGAATCTTCGTTTGGTGTTGTGTAATTATTTATATTTTCATAATTAGTATCCACTTCATCGAACGAATCTTTATTTGGTATCTCATGATTATTTATATTTTCATAATTAGCTTCAGTTCTAAGTTGATCAGAGTCAAAAGGTGTATTAAATGTTTTGTGTAGGTGTCTTATATAGTTTTGACAGTGTTTATAGGAAATGTACTGATTACGAAACATTGTAAAAAAAGAGAAGGCTTTTGAATTAAAGTTCCTTGCCTTATATGTATATATAGTATCATGAGAATTTGTAATCGATCAGAAATTAACTAGAAGTAAAATATATTAATATTGGAGTTTAAATTATTATTAGCCATATATGGTCAGTATGCAAATAACAAATGTATATATAAGAGAATAATCTGTAGTTCAAGAGATATGTAAAAATATTGCGTGAGATTAAATATTTAGTGTCAAAAATCTAGCCAGGTATGAGTTTTGTTTATGATAACAACAAATATAGTAAAAGCGAATAGAGATTTTCTTTATACCTTGCATTACTATTCTTTTTATTTTACATACAGTCGTCCTCCCATACAATCACACAGTTGGGCACATAGTAACTTTTTTTTAAAATGTGCTTATAAAGAGGTTGTGCTTATATAGAGGTTTTTTTCTTATAAATTAAATTATAGTTTGGCCTAAATAAAAATGTGATTACATATGATGTGATTATATGGGAGGTGACTATATGGAGGGACGACTGTACCTTATTTATATTTATATCCTTACATTATTGCATGATTACATCATAATTACTATTACAATTATTCTTTTCATAGTTAATTTTAACTTTATTATCCTTCCTTTATTATTTCGAATTAAAATATTTTAATTAACTTTCAAAGGCTAAACGTAATACAAATTTATTTGTATAGATTAATTTTTTTATTATAGTATTACCCCGGTACTCATATTATTAATTATATATATTATAATAAAAAAAATTACATCTATCTTATCACATGATAAAAAGTCATGTGACTCAAAAAAAAAGTTTTTTGTATATACGTGCCTGCCTGCATATGTAAATTTGCTTCAGTTTGAAAATTACTAATTAAATCATAGTAATTTTTTTGCTTCGGTTTGAAATTTTTTTTGCTTCGATTTGGGTAAATATTTACCCGATAGTAATTTTTTGCTTCGGTTTGGAAAACAAAAAAGTTATTAGTATTTTTTTTTGCTTCGGTTTGGAAAACAAAAAAGTTATTAATTCCCTTTTGTTGTTAAAGAAAAAATAGTGACAATTAAAAATGCATTTTACGCGAAATTTATTAAGTCAATTGACTTTATGTTATTAATAAAAGTTGTAGAATGGACAAAAATAACACTAGTTTTATATGACGATTTTACATGTTTTACTAATAGAATTTGAGATATTTGACATTTACAGTTACACGAACATTTTGATCTGCAAAGCTTATACGAAAATGCTTCATCAAAATTTGACATTATTTCGCGAATATCTGTCTGTTTGATGCGAAATTTGCAGACAAATCCACAAAAGTCATCTGAATCAACTTTATTAAGATCATATTGTAGATTAACTTTGACCAAAAAATATTTTATTATTATGTACCTTTCTAAACGTACAAGAAAAAAAACTTTTATACAAAAAACAAATGAAAAAAAATAATAACTTTTTTAGTTTTCAACCAAACACCGCCAAATTTTACAGGTAAAATTGGATGATATTCCTCTATTCGAATATAAAATTTCAACGTGGATTAATATGAAGAATCAAAAATGATGGGGTTGAAGGAAGAGTTTTTCATCACGATAAAAAATTTGTCTATGAAAAGAAAATGAAAAACATTAATATCTCCACGAATATTAAACCAAATTAGCTGAAAATTTATACATAAATAGTTGAATATCATATCTACAAACGGTATTAATGAAGATTTGCATCTTTCATTTTATGAAAGTGTTTTTGGATTCATTTAAAGTTCAAGGAAGAGTTTCAAAATTTTCATATGGATATTCTTTTCACAAAAATCATCATTATTCTATGAGTACAAATCCAGATTTTATTAAAGTAAATTTATGTACTAAGTAAGTTCTTGTATATTTTATAGTTACACATATGTGATTGATCATTTATGTATCGTGAAAACATAGAAATTTTTATAAAATTTTTGATTTTTACGATCTACAAATTTATTAATTGAAAAAAAACTATATAAACACTTGCTTTCCCATGTGTTTTCGGTACTTTGTATTTGAAAAGGAAATTGACCTTCTTTGGTTTTGAGAGTACACAAATACATATCAGAATCAGAGCTCATCGAGCCAGTATTCCTTATAATTATTTAAATTTAAATAATTATTAAATATATTTTACAATGTCATTATCTTATTACTTACGTTGTAAAAATATACAGCTTGTTTATTTAAATTGTGATTTTGATTTGAATGATATATTATTACATTTACAATTTTTATTTATGGAGAGAAATGTTATTATTCAATCACATATTATAACAAATATCAATAATAATATCTATTGCTATATTTCTCTAAATAGAGCCATAGCTATAAAAAATAATAATTTTTTTAATATTGATTTTATTGATATTAAATTTCATCCTATCGTGACAATGTCACGATCAGAACATCATATAAAATCACTTGTAAAAGACAATAAATATATTTCAAATATTATGTAATATTTATTAACAAAGAAAAAAATATATAACAAATATTAATAAAGATAACCTACTTAGTTTAATTTTAACCGAGTAAAATTTTATTTATGTAAATTAAGTTTTATTAATTATAAAATGACTGAAACAAAAACTGATACCTTTAGAAGATTTATGTTTACAATATTTAATAATCTAGAAGAATTTAATGAATTAATTCAAGAAATTTATTCAGAATCAAAAATACAAAAAATTAAATATCAATTTGAAGCTAACTATAATATTGATGAACTTAAAGTTTTAATTAATGAAGGAAGATATGATCCTAATCGTGATGTTAAGATAATTAACAAACATATACAAGGGTTTTGCATATTAACCAAACAAGAAAGAATAGGAAGATATATAAAAAAAAATGAAAAATATAAAACTAAAAAAGGTGGTGATAAAATTGCACAAAAGGAAAGTGCTTCCGGGATCAAAGGATTATTTAAAAATAATTTAATACATATAGATTATAATAATGGAACAATAGAAGATGCTCTTAATTATACGGGAAAAGAATTTAATCGATGCTTTTTACATCATAATAGCAAGAATACTCCTTGTAAATGCAATTTATTTGATCGTTATGATCATTCAGCTTGTAACTATTGTGATGAAAATTGTTGGCAATATCGATTATTTGCTCGATGTAATGATATAGAGAATCCTGGTCCTTATGAATTTGGTGAACTT